CTATAGCAGAAACCCGCAATGGTCTTCTGGGTAATAGTTTACGTCATTTAAATCCATGTATGGGTACTATTGCGCAACTTTGCCATTTTGTCGCGGAGAAAAAAAAAATACAAAAAAAAAAGGCATTTTATAGCTGGTATACCACAGGTATCCCAGCAAATATGCGACCGCTTTCTTCATTCGCACTTTATTTATATCGTTACGCCTTTCTATTGTCCAGAATATTTCCAAAATCGTACATTGCAACACCTCATTTCTATGAGTCCGAGGGAGATGCTTCTTTGTAACTTTCTTTGCAATTGAAGCGAAAATGTTACTGATGCCGAAAATACTACTAATGCCGAGGGAGATCGTGTATACCCCTGTGTAGGCTCGGCAGTGGTTCGTACACTAGCGTTGGTGCTGCATCTGTCATCGCTGTGTAAACACACTGCCATTCCACCTTTCAAAATAATTGGATTAAGCGAGCAGACGAGAGAACAATGGCAGGCAGGCTAGTAGCCTACCCGTGGCTCTATATGGAACTTAAGGTGAATTTGATTAACCATATTGACTCTGGACGGTTGAATATTACTGACGTAAGGAGCATCGCGCGGTCGCGTTGTTGTTGGTATAGTACAAACAGATTCAAGTACGGAACGGCCGTTAAAGAAGTAACGCTCGTAGGCTATTCAAACCGTTTCACCTTTGGAATGAAAACGTCTGCATTATGACAGCGAACGAAGGAACACGGACACAAGTTAAGTAAACAAGTATAACGTTAATTTAATTCAAATAATCGAAAGGGAAAAAAAACTATAGAAATCCAACCACATTCGGTGTCCTAGCGCCCTTGCTCAGCGAGGTTTACTAGTAATAGTAGAAATTCTGAAGTGTTCTTCAGAAACGAGAATTGATAGAACTGAGATAAGAATAAACCAGCAAAATGGAGTTGTGTAAACGTAGGTAAGTTGATGTATGGCGATTGAAACTTTCTGTCCATTACCGAACTTTATAAGTCCCAAATAACTGACCAACCTTTATTTATCGGAAATGAGCCGAGTAACAAATGCAGATTTGGATAGTCGAGCAAGATGTTGAATGAACCCTTGTCATATTGACAGAGCTAATAATGCGAAGTCCTTAGTAATGCGTTTTTGAGTTTCTTAGGCCCTGGCTAAATGAGAAACAGAAACATGTAATTTACCGCGCGCAAGTTTTCCCAAGTTTAGCCAGCCAAATACGAAACATYGCTGCGTGCAACAAATTTTGCTTCCAAGACGCAAAAATCATAGCAGAAACAAGTTATCCTTCCAAGACGCATTGAAACGATGTTTCCCGAAGTTTAGCCGCGAAAGTCAACATTCTAAAAGTTCATTACTTAGCAACGCTCGCTCTATCTTGAAAGTGCGCATGCGCTAACTGATGAGTAAATATGATTCCTATCACAGGTTTTCCACCTTTGGAAACATTTAAGGTGACTGCCTACTTTTGAACGTTCGATTTGAGCCCACGATGTGCGCGCGCTCAAAAACCGCTGAAAAATCTACAAGATTTTTTTGAAGAACCATACGCGTTTTGAGCTTCAACAGGGCAAAACTTATTTGCCCAGCTAGACTGCATTATTCAATTCATACATAGTATAAATCATAGTATACGATATCCGACATCCGGTTTCGTATAACAATGGCTGGCGGAAATACTCGCGAAGGCACCATTGTTTGCGGATTAAAGGACATTTTGGTATAACCCTGGTGGCTGATACGGTGTGATTTCTGAGTATGCAGTTTTCTTTACGTCGAAACAACACTATTAAATTTGTCTTTTTCAAAACGCAAAGGAGCATTATTATGCGTTATACTTTACGTGCGAACAACAATAATTTGTCGTTTACAATTCGCAAAGTTGCAGTTTTTTTGGCAGTATTAGTTTACGTGTTCACCACAATTATTTTGTCTTTTACAGAACGCAAAGGTGCAGTTAAAATGAAACCACTGTTTTAAGCCATAGATAGTGTTAGAATTGGACTGAAAAAGCTCCGGGATCGCCTGGAGTACAACTCTTTATTCGACTTCTTGTCCTTTAGGAGACTAGTTAGCTTTACAAATACGAGAGGTTTGCTACCAGCCTAAGATGCACCGAAGCTGGCTAGAAAGACGTTCCGGATCTCTCACGGATACTGGTCATCGAGTCCCGTCTTTCAAAACCGAGACTCGATTTTCAAAACGAGACGGTCCACGAGACGTTTTTCAAAACGAGACGATTTTTGGACCTCCGATTTTGGAAATTATTTATTTATTTATTTTTATTTTTTTGATCAAGTAGATTCTCAAAAACCTCAGAACTTATGAAATTTTATTCAGTATAATTATCACTCGTTGATTAAACAAAGCATTTCTCATGATCAAAAAAGAGAGCCTGAGATTTTATGAGCTTTCATTCATCATAATTATCATAATAACTATCATCGTTGATTAAACGAAACAAATCTCAAAAAAATTGAGAACTTATGAAATTTCATTCTTTCATTTCTTATATTATATATTAAAGAGATAGAAAACGAGCGCGCGTGCTATGTTGAGTTATTCATACGTTTAACTTTTTCCCTCCTCACTTTTCTCCTTCTCTTTCTCGCTACTTCTTTTGTTTCTCTGTTTTCCCTTTCTTTTTCTAGTATTTCCTCGCTTTCCTTTCCTCCATTTTCAATAGTTTCCGTTTCATGATAGTTTTGATAGCTTTTTAATTATAAATTAAGCCAAGCTTTGGAGCATATTGCTCTTCATCAGGGCATGCAAACGGTTGTGACAATTTTCACAAGAAACATGCAACATAACAATGTGAGCGCGCTACAATTAAATGTATCCCCAGACTCTGGAATATAACCCTGCGAGCCATCAGAGACTCCAACTCCCTTGTTTCCTTTAAATCTAATGTTAAAACGATTGTATTTGGTATCTATATAGATATATACAACGTATAGATTATCTCTTCATATATCCTACAATAAAAATATATCTATTTATAATAATAACAATAATGATAATAGTTAAAAACTTTATTTTCATATCTATACACACTCTATGGTGATTTTTATAATCCCCCACGCACTAACAACAACACAATTGTAGTTTAGGGACTAGTTTCGTCCGTTTATTAGGACCTTTTCAACCTAACTGAATCTAACTGAATGATTACGTTGCGATATAGTGTTTATACTCGTGATGAACAAGAGCGCGCGCAGTAAACTTGCGCGAGCTGTAAAAGTATAAGAAGAGAGAAAATTTACATTATAACTGTTCTAGGGATCTTCATAAAGTTCCATTCTGTTTTGTTATTTATTATTTTATCTTGTTCTTCT